CAGTCCTCGGGTTTTACCTGGGTTCTTGCAGTGTCTCACTGTATGTGTACATCTCTGACCATGCTGGTGTTCAGTGTTCAGGTCATCTTCTTGGGATCTTGATTATTTTAAATTCTTTCCTGCAGAGGAGAAGAAAGCATCRGTGCCAACACCAAAGCCATCAGTTCCTGCAGCTGTAGCTGCTCCTCCTGCAGGTACTTCTGTTGGTGTGGACTGTATGTTTGTGTGTTTGTTTCTTGGGGGGGTAAACACCGGTTCTTTAGGTTTTCTTTTTTGGTTTCCTTTGAATTGCTGTCCAGTCCGGTCTTCTCAGTGTGTGTGTGTGTTGGTGTGTGTGACCACACTGGTGTCCGGGTCATCATCTTGGCATCTTGTTTTCTTTAATATTTTCCTGCAGAGGAGAAGAAAGCATCAGTACCAGAAGCGAAGGTATCAGCTCCTGCTGCTCCTTCAGTCAGAGCTGCTCCTCCTGAAGGTAGTTTTTTTAACATGGTGTTAAAAGCTGTCTTCTATCTCTGTTACTGATTTCTTCACTTGTTTTTTTATTCTGTTGTTTGTTTTAATGTATTGTTTCTTCCATTTCTTCTCGTGTTTTTTCGCTTGTTTGATATCTTGTACTCCCAAAGTGCCTCCTGCAGAGGAAAAGAAACCATCTCCACCATCAGAAAAGCCAGCAGTAGAAAAAGTTGTTCCTGTTGAAGGTAGAATCTTCTGTTTGCCTTCCTTATTTCTATCCTTGTTGTCCTTGTGTTGGCTCCTAACAACAGTCAGTCTTTAATACTGTGCGTTTTGTTCAGCTGTTGTTTGTTGAACAGATCTTTGTTAGTGTTTTAATCCAGTTTACATTCTTGTAGCTCCAGTTGCAGTTGAGGAGAAGGAACCGTCTGAAGTCACTGTAAAGACTGAACCTCCCACCGACTATGAGACAAGCTCTCCACCTGCAGGTAACATCGACTTTTTCATTCTTCTTCATGATGTTTGTGACTGTTTTTTGTGATGTGTTGGCTTCATCTTTACATAAAGAAGTTTAGACCCGAAGTCTAATCTATCATGTGTTTTTTATTTTCTAATTCAGTCTGCGGCTTCTGTATTGACGGCACCTGTTATCAGACACAAAATGACATGAATGCTTTCTTTTTTCAAGTTTTGATGCATTTTTACAGTGAAAAAACAGGACCAACACCCGAGAACACTATTGTTTTCCCAGCTTACATTTTATGTCTTACACCAAAACAAAACAACTGATTAAAGTCTCAGGAAATCCAGGTCTTTGTATGATTTGTATACTTACTATGATCTTATTTAAATTCTTGCAGACAAGGAACCAGTTTCAGCTCCTGGACCAACTAAAGGTATCAAAAGTAGATTTTTCAACAATACATCTSCACCAGTTTGTTCCTTTAAAATAATTTGGCCACAGTCTTTGAGAAAACCTCTTCTTGTTGTGTCTGTGTGGTGTCTGACTTCAGTGTCAAACATTCAAATCTCTGGATGTTTCTTACATGTTTGTGAATTTTATAAAAGATGTATTTACTCTTTCAACCACAGTGCCATCTTTTAAGCCAAAAGATAAAATTCCAGTTCAGGAGGGAAAACCATCAGAGTCACCTAAACTAAAGAGTAAACTCACCAGAAGGCCCAAAGAGACAGAACCAGAATTAGAGGTCGTTAAGCTGAAGAAGGTTCCAGTGAAACCTCCAGAGCCTGAGAAACAAGTCGTAACACATGTAACAGAAGTAACACGACATCATGATGAAGAACTATCAGTTCGTGGGTTGTATGACAGAGACGACAGAGAGATAATAACTCTAGGAAGAACTGAACGAATTTTCACTGCAGAAGAAAAAACTGTTCAGTTAGGACAAATTGAGGAGACTGAAATAGTTAAAGTTGTACAAAAAACAGAGAGCAAAGGATGGACAAGAACCCTAAAATCACAAACTGAAGAAGATTCAGAAGTTCCCAATGTTGTTAAGAAGAAAATAACGCAACTACCAAAAGCAGATCTGCAAAAAGAGTCTGTCCAACTAAAACCGTTTGAAAAACCTGAGAAACCAGAACCAGAGTCCCAGAAGATCAAACTGAAACCAGTTCCATCTAAGCCCAAAGTCCTTGAAAAAGAGATCACAACTCATACAGCTGAGGTGACAAAGCATCATGATGTTGAACTGACAGCTCAGAAGCTTCGAGACAGAGAGGATCTAGAGGTAAGAAGACTTGGAAAACCTGAAAAAGTCTTTACTGCAGCTGAAACGGCTCCTGAACTCAGCCAGGTAGACAAACCACAAGAAAAAGAACCAGAAGAAGACAAATCAAAATGGAAAAGAACCATAAAAGAACAACCTGGTAAAGAACCAGAGCCAGATTTATCTAAGAAGAAAATAAAGAAATTACCAAAGAAGGATGAAGAACAAGACATTGTGACACTGAAACCTTTTGAAAGACCTCAAAAACAAGAAGCAGTTGAGCCAAAGACTAAAGACAAGGTTCAGCCTAGACCAGAGACAGAACGTCCTCCTTTCCAAAGAGGGGAGGTGCTGCACAAAGACCAGCCTGATGTTGCAGTAAAAAGCAGAGAAGATGCAGATGTGACCCAGAAAAGTCCTGACCCAACTCTAGATGACAGCAAAGTCCAACAGGAAACAGCTCCACAGAAAAAGATTGATCAAATACCAAAAGATACTGCAGCTGAGAAGCTACAAGGAGAGCCTAAAGTCACCAAGCCAGAAAAAGAGAAGAAGCCTCCTGTGGACACAAAGATACCAAGCCAACCTCCAGGAGGGAAAATAACCAAAGACACAAAGAAGGAAGAGCTTCAGAAAGTTGAAAAGACTCCTTCACCCACAGTCAGGAAGGAGAAGGTAGGAGACGAAAAGCCCACCAAGCAGCTGAAGAAGGTTGAGCTCAAAAAGACCCCATCACCAAAGATTGACCAGCCAAAGATCCTGAAGACTGAAAAGAAACCAAGTCCTGAAAAAGTAAAAGAGCCTCCCAAAGCTGTTTCACTTAAAACCTCCACTGAAACCTCGACACTCAAACAGGTTCCCAGGAAACCTACAGTGGAGGAGGTCTCTGGCACAGGCCGAGTACCCCTGGGGAAGGAGATCTCCCCCGGTGCTGTACAGATGAAGAGGGTGACAACTCAGCCTGAGGAGGAGGTGTTTGAAGAAGAAAGGGTGGGAGAGGAAGCCGAGGAGGAGGAGGAGGAGGCCTGGGGGTGGGAACTGGTTCCCCCAGAGGACTGGGAAAGTGAAGAAGTGATGGGGGCGCTGGAAACTCCGGGTATGCCTGGTGCCAGACGAGGTGAGCTGGAGACAGATAACCGTCTGGAGTCCTCTCATCTGATTCATCCCATCTTTAATCCTTTCATCCATTTCTTCATGGCTTCATCTGGATGTTTACCACTTTCCTGAGCCTAACCCTTACATTCCTCCATCCATCTTTTATTCTGTCTATCCATTCATCCGTTGGGCCATCCAACAATCAGTCTGTCCATTCATTCCTCCATTCATCAGTCGATCTGTTCATTCATACATTCATCTGTTCTTCTATCCATCTAACAATTAATCTGTTTTCATGTTCACCCATTCATTACTCCATCAAAACATCCACCTGTCTGTTGTTGCACTGTCCATCATCCATCATCATCCATCCATCCATCCTCCATCATCATCCATCCATCCATCCATCCTCCATCATCATCCATCCATCCTCCATCCATCCATCCATCCATCATCAATTATCCATCCATCCATCCATCTATCATCCATCCATCCATCCATCCTCCATCCATCCATCCATCCATTCATCATCAATTATCCATCCATCAATCATCCACCCATCCATCATCCATCCATCCATCTATCATCTTTCCATCATCCATCCATCCATCATCCATCTATCATCCATCCATCCATCTATCCATCCGTCTGTTTTTCCATTCTGTTACCAGCATCATTGCGTTTGACTTCACCTCTTCCCATTGGTCCTTGTTGTCCCATCAAGTGTCTTTCTAATGATCTTCATTCCATTTTGTTTCCGTTTTGTTTCCACTGTGTGAAAGTGTGCTCTGCCAGTCTTTCTTCAGACAACTTTGTCTTCATTTTACAGTGTTATGTAGAGTTTCTTGTTTTTTTCTTGGCAACTATTAGAATATTTGTGTCMGACAGAGAAGCTTAAAACTCTTCTTCTGTTCTTTGTTCAGATGGAAAACCAACAGAAGAGGCAGCCAAAGGCAGAGGTCGAGGATTTGGAGGTGAGGAACCTGATTGGTTTTCTCTACAAAGAGATTAAGTCCATTAATGTCATTTATTGACTGGCTGTTTGATGTGAAAATCACCTAACATTTTGTTTTATGCCTCTAATCTGTAAAAGTTTTGTATTGATGAGAAACMGGGCTGTATTTTGTTCTTAGGTGGTTTGTACCCAAATCTGTCAAATCTGAACAATAAAACCTTATGATTTTGTTCAACAACTTAAGAACCTGATGGATCATGTTTAGAAAAGAACTGAATGTTTTGAATTTGTCTCTGAATCCTGCTCATAATAACAGTCTCTGTTATTATTAAAGGTTTCTGGTTTCTTCTACCAGTGAAACTCTTCACTTGTTGCAGATTTGATGTTGAACCATGAGTTTGTGTCATATGGTTTACACTGAAACAACAAACTATAAGCTGCTTCTATCAGCCTCTTGTCTGAAACTAACTGGACCAGTTTTCATGTCTGATTCTGCAGCAAGACAGACTCCATCTCCAGGTGATGGTGGCAGGGGGCGTGGCCTGAGACCTGGTGGTAGAGGCCCAACACCTCCAGAGGAACCGTTTGCAGGCTTCAAACTGAAAGCTGTCCCCCTGAAGTTCACCAAGAAGATTCAGGACATCGTGYTSCAGGAGGCCGAGTCCATCGGATCTTCTGCTGTGTTTGAGTGTGAGGTCTCGCCTTCCACTGCCATCACTTCCTGGATGAAGGATGGTGGTAATCTACGAGAAGGTCCCAAGCACAAGTTCACTTCTGATGGCAAAGACCGTAAGCTGCACATCATTGATGTCCAGCTGTCTGACACCGGTGAATACACCTGTGTGGCWAAGAACGCTGGCAAGGAGATCACATGCACCGCCAAGCTCATAGTTGAAGGTAAACCAGAAAAAGTAACAGTCTGAAGAAAACACTGAGGTGTTGAATGTGTGAATGATGAGACTCATTGTTGTGTCTTCACAGAGCTGCCTGTGAAGTGGTTGAAGGAACTGGAACCAGAAACCACATGTATGAAGGGTCAGCCCATGTACCTGACCTGTGAGCTGAACAAAGAGAGAGACGTGGTCTGGAGAAGGAACGGAGAAATTCTGAAGAACAAGGCTGGAAAAGTAGCCATCAACATCATCGGTATGCAGCACGCTGTGACCCTTCAGAACGCCGCAGAGGAAGACGCTGGCATCTACTCCTGTCAGGTGGAGGGCCAGGAGGACATCAAGACTGCCACCAACGTCAAAGTGATCGGTAAGCATTGAGCAGCAGCAGAACAGTCACTGACAGGAATCATTCAGATGACATCTAACCATGCTCCTGCTGTTAGTGATATTCTATTAATTCACTTCAATTGAGTTCTATCTCACCAGTTCACAACAAAGGCTATMTGAGGGCACAAAAACACTCACAAGCTTTACTGAAATGCCAGTTAGTAAGTTGTCTCTCTAAGGAAGCAGCAGATTGTGTTGAATCGTCATCTCGGTCTCCCATCCTGAGCAGAAACGTTGGTGACAGTGGGAATGAACAAGTCTTTATTAACAGAAGCAGGTATGGGGAGATAAGAATCAAATCTGAAGGTCAAATGAAACCCATCTGGAGTAAATGTTTAGTTTGACAGTAACCCTCTAAGGTTTTACAACCAAACATATTGACCCTCTGAATTCTAAAATAGAAATGTAATTTCCTTTATAAAAGACTAACCTTGMACCAGATGGTATTGGACAGTATCATCTGCCTAACAAAAAGACATCAACTGTATTTTCTGTTGATATTAAAGAAGAAGAAAACTGGTCTAGACCTCAAATCCTATGGAACACCAGATTAGACTATGAAACATGTAGAAAAGAGATTATTTACATAAAAACTAGAATCCAGTAGATGAATACAGGTCAATCCAACACAGATATGACCTTCAGTTCTGACATGCTCAGAAGCAGTTCCAGAACCTGTAATCATGTCAGTTTGTTTGGGGATGACTGTTTCCTTCATCAGAAGTCATCAAGGACTGGCTGGTGAAGCCTCTGAGGGACCAACACGTGAAACCAAAGGCCAAAGCCTCGTTCAAATGTGAGCTCTTCAAAGACACGCCCAACTGGAAGTGGCTGAAAGGGGAAAACGAGCTCACGCCTTCTGACAAGGTCGAGATCAACAAAGATGGAAAAGACATGACGCTCACCATCAATAACTGCCAGCCTGATGACGTGTCAGACTACACCATCGAGGTGGAGGACAGAAGATACACAGCCAAACTCACACTGGGAGGTGTGTTCACAGAAATCCACAACTGAGTGTTGTTTGACTTCAGGTCAGACAGAGGTTTAAATGTGTACTCATGTTGTTTATTTCAGAGCGTGAGGCTGAGATCCTGAAGCCACTGTCAAATGTGGAGGTGGTTGAAAAGGAGGAAGCCAAATTTGAAACAGAAATATCTGAGGATGACGTGGTGGGCGAGTGGAAACTGAGAGGCCAGGTGTTGACCAGATCTCCGGTAGGTTTGCTTAGGGTTCACACAGGTCCAGCAGGTCTGTATAAGTACAAATTCAGCAGCAAGTGATCTTTGTTTGGACTTTCAGACATGTGACATTAAAGCCGAAGGTGGAAAACGTTTCCTCACGTTGAAAAACGTGCAGTTGGATCAGGCAGGTGAAGTGTCGTACCAAGCTCTAAACGCCGTCACCACCGCCATGCTGACAGTCAAAGGTATGAGCCTGCCTCACACACCTGCTATGGTCTGTATGTGTGTGTGTGTGTCTGTCTGCCTGTGTGTGTCTGTGTGTCTAAAGCCTCTGCATCTGGAGAAACACGGTAAGAAAAGTGTCAGCTGTGTGTTTGGGTTTGTGAATAACTGCTAAAATGTTCACACCTCCCAGAAATCGAAATGGGCTTTGTTGACTCGCTGAAGGATGTTTCTGTGCCTGAAAAGAAACAGGCTAAGTTTGAATGCACCATCACTAAGGAAGTGTCAAAGGTTCTGTGGTTCAGGGGAGTGGAAATCATCACCCCCAGCCCAAAATATGAAATATTGGATGATGGAAAGAAACACATGCTGATTATAAACAGCTGTGAGTTTGATGATGAGGCTCAGTACACCATTGAAGTGTTGGGCCAAAAATCCACYGCTCAGCTGATGGTGGAAGGTAAGTGTGACTCCGAATGGCACTGCTTCCTGTTTCCTCTGTGTACATATGTWATGTTTGTGGCGTTGAAGTGTTGGATGGCAACAAACGCTCCTGTCTGTGTGAACTCACCTGCTGTGTTCCAGGCATGAGGCTCAAATTTGTGCAGCCGCTTCAGGACCAAACTATCAAAGCAGGTAACACGGTACGCTTTGATATTGAGCTGACTCATGAAAACGTGCCGGTGGTTTGGTACCGAAAYGAAGTCAAACTCCACGTGAGCCGAACAGTTCTCATACACGTGGAAGGAAAGAAACACACTCTAGAAATGARGACGTTGAATCTAGATGATACGTGTCAAATAAAGGCAGAGGCCAAAGGAGTGTCCTCAACAGCCAAACTGACGGTCATAGGTAACATCATGCTCTCTATCACGCCATTTTTCTTTAGGCTTAGTTTAGGTTGTTACTGCTCATCAGACATCATATAGAAGATCTTTAAAACTCGTTACTGATTCTGTACTGATGATGCATGTAATCTGTTCTAATGGAAATAAAAAATGCAAGTAAACGTTCTAAAAACACTGATAAACAAAGCTTATAGTGGTAAGTTCAGTGCATCTTTGAGGTTGAACTGTCTGTAGACATAAAACCATGTGATGTGAACATTCCACCTGTCCTCCTGCAGAGGGAGACGCCATCTTTATTGTGAAGCTGCAGGATTACACTGCCACCGAGAAAGACGAGGTGACGCTGGACTGTGAACTGAGCAAAGACGTTCCAGTCGTTTGGTATCACGACGAGAAGGAAATCATTGCCTCTAAGTTGGTTGTCATGAGGTCAGAGGGCACTCGCAGGTCTCTGCTTCTGAAGAGAGTGGGTCACACTGATCAAGGCAAATACGTATGTGACTGTGGAACGGACAAAACCTCGGCCAACATCAACATTGAAGGTAACTGAAAACCAGCTGTGTGCCGATTCCTAACAGGAAACTAATGATGCTCTCATTTATGGAGAGAATTAAAAAATATTCCAGAATCCAAACCCAAAGATGAAATTCAGAAACAGGAAGAACACCTCCATGTTCTCAGAGCAGTAAGGGTCTTTCTCTAACTGTTTCTGTGGATTTCTAAACCCACAGCACGTGATGTGAAGGTCGTAAGGCCGATTTATGGCGTGGAGCTTTTCGACGGAGAGACGGCTCGTTTCGAGGTGGAGATCTCTGAGGACGACGTGCATGGCCAGTGGAAGCTGAACGGAGAYGTCCTCAGTCCTTCATCTGTAAGAATCACAGCTGGATGTTTTCTTGTTGTGGTGAATGTGACATGAGCCCAGCATCCTGTTAACTATGGTTCTCCTGTGACAGGACGTGGACATCGTCGAGGAGGGAGGCAAACACACACTGATCCTGTACAACTGCAAAGTCCCCATGACTGGAGAGGTGGCGTACGCTGCAGCCAACGCCAGGTGTTCAGCCAACCTGAAGGTCAAAGGTAAAGCCAAGTCACCTGATCCACTCATCTACTGCTTGATTCACAATAGAACTTAGAAAGTTGACTGAGATCCAGTTTATAACTGAAATTATACATTTCAATTTTGACTGAAGTTAAAACCTGAAATTGATTACAAAAACCCTGAGATTTAGTTTCTGGAAACTCTTTGTAACTGTAAAATCTACAAAATAAGAACTTAATTTATGAGAGAAAGAAAATACATCAGGTGTCCTGATGAACCTTAATATTCCAAGCAGACAAATCTAAAAAAGTGAAGTAGGTCATCTGGACTGATGCTTTGTTGAAAAATGTTTTGAACCTCCTCTAAGAGACTTCTTCAATCTGATGAGTTAAAAAGGAACTCAGCCTTATAATCTGTACTCCCACATGTTGGACAAACCGGTTCAATGATGAATAAAGACTGTTTCTAAAACCTCTTCTAAGACCTTTGATTGAAGACTTTCTAAAACATCACCAACATTTGATCAAAGATTGTTTCTGCAAATATCACTGTATCGAAATGATGCTCTGAGAACCAGGGGGTCTGTGGAAAATACCCTAAAGCATTTCTTGCAAGTCTTCAGTGTTTGGTTGTTGTTTCCTGCAGAACTTCCTCTGAACTTCCTCACACCTCTGAGTGATGTTCAGGTGTATGAGAAGGACGAGGCCAGGTTCGAGGTCGAGGTGTCCAGAACTCCCAAGAGTTTCCGCTGGCTGAAAGGCTCCCAGGAGCTGATGAGCGACGACAAGTACGAGATGATACAGGAGGGCAAAATGTATGTTCTGCTGATCCGTTCGGCCGCCTATGAAGACGAGGCCAAGTACATGTTTGAGGCCGAGGACAAGAGGACAACCGGCAAACTTGTCATTCAAGGTGTTCTACTTGAAAAATCCTTAGGTTTCATTTTCAGCTGAATGCAACTGGAAGACAGATACTTRTTCGAAACTTACCAAATATCATTCTTTAAACAAACTGACTTATTGCTATTCAGACCTGTTGAAGGTCCAGTTCCTTAACGTCTTGTTCTTGTGGCAGGAATTCGCCTGGAGTTTGTGAAACCCATTAAGGACGTGACAGTGAAGGAGCGGGAAACGGCAGAGTTTAGTGTGGAACTGTCTCATGACAACATCACAGTGGTTTGGTACAAAAATGAYGTCCGTCTTCATCCCAGTAAAGTGGTTCACATGACAGATCAGGGAAAGATCCACACCCTGGCCTTCAAAGAGGTCACCATCGATGACACATCCATGATCCGAGTGGAGGCCATGGACAAGAACATGACCGCCATGCTTACAGTCATTGGTCAGTCCCAAGATTTGATCTTTACTTTTATTATTCGGATCTTGAATAAAATGTCAGATTGACCAGGTTACTGGAAATCCTGAATAATCTTTAATTATCCTGCTGAAAAGCAAATGAACAGAGATGTGAACGAGTCAGATTAAGCCAGGATAATGTAATCCTGAGTCAGATTAAACCAGGATAATGTAATCCTGAGTCAGATTAAACCAGGTTTAATGTAATCCTGAGTCAGATTAAACCAGGTTTAATGTAATCCTGAGTCAGATTAAACCAGGTTTAATGGAACAGAGATGAAAGCTAAAACTGTGTTGTTCCTGCAGAGGGCGACCTGTACTTCACCACCAAGCTGCAGAACTACACTGCAGTGGAGAAGGACCAGGTGAATCTGGTCTGTGAACTCAGCAAAGCTGTGGCTGATGTGAAATGGTTTAAGGATGGGAAGGAGATCACTCCCTCCAAAAACATTGCCATCAGCACCGATGGAAAGAAGCGAATCCTGACAGTCCGGAAGGCAGAGAAGGCCAATATTGGAACTTACACCTGTGACTGTGGCTCAGACAAAACGTCAGCAGACCTGAACATTGAAGGTAGAGATGTTTTCTGAAACCTCCCTAACCTTTAACGATGGGTTCTGTAATGTCACTAACCTTTGATWAAAGATGGGTTTATTGGATTTTAACATTAATGCTGGCTTTCCCTGCAGAGCGGGACATCAAAGTGGTTCGTCCTCTGTACAGTGTGGAGGTGACAGAGACAGAGACAGCCAAGTTTGAGACAGAGATCTCTGAGGAGGATGTCCATGGAAACTGGAAGCTGAAGGGAGAAGCTCTGCACCAGTCTGCTGTGGGTTTCTGACAACATTCCTGTTTTTCTGTTTTTATCATTTTAAACCTAAAAACACTAAATCAGCATCTGTTTGTCATCCAGGATGTTGAAATTAAAGAGGAAGGAACCAAACATGTTCTAATTCTTTATAATGTTCGTATGGACATGGCTGGACCCGTCGACTTCTCAGCCGCCAACGCCAAATCTAACGCTCAGCTCAGGGTCAAAGGTCAGACCACTATTTCTTGTTTCTCATTGGTTCCTCTCACTGAAATATATTTTGAAAARTTTTTACATATTTTCATTTAGTCATCTACACTCAGGTTTCAACTTGTTAATAAAGTCTAAGTAAAATTTTCTAAAAAATATTATTAAATATTATTAAAGGAAGAAAGTGAGCAGTGATCCTCAGGCAAATCAGAACTGAAGGTTACAAACTGCAGGATAACATTTCCTCTTCTTCCTCAGCTCGCTCCATCACGATGATGCAACCCCTGAAAGATGTGACAGTGACAGCCGGAGAGACGGCAACATTTGAATGCGAGCTTTCATACGAAGGCATCGCTGTGGCGTGGTTCCTGGGAGGAGAGAAGATGGAGGCCAGCGACCGGGTCAGTCCAAAACCCAAAGAATGTTCTTGTTATTGACAGGATCAGTTCTGAGGGGCAAAACCAAAACCAATAATTTAAAATATAATAAAAGCAAGTCGAGTTCAGATGTTGTCTGTAAAAGACAAACAAACTAAGATCGGGGAGTAAATGTTTTTGTGTCCCTGCAGGTGAAAACTCGAGTGGCCGGTAGAATTCACACTCTGACCATTCGAGACGTTAAGCTGACGGAGGCCGGGGAGGTCAAACTGACCGCCGCAGACTTCCAGACTTCAGCTCAGCTCATTGTCAGAGGTAAAGCACTCACAGATGAGGGGAGCAGGGAACACAGCAACTGTTTGGTACCAACTCATACGTTTGTGTTCAGAGCCACCAGTGGAGTTCACCAAACCTCTGGAGGACCAGACTGTGGAGGAGGAGGCCACTGCCACACTGGAATGTGAAGTTTCCAGAGAGAATGCTGATGTTCACTGGTTCAGAGAAGGACAGGAGCTCAGAAAGACCAAGAAGTACGACATGATCGCTGAYGGACGCAAGAGGGCGCTGCTCATCCACGACTGCTCACCAGATGATGCCAAAATGTACACGTGTGATGCCAAAGAGTTCAAGACGTCATGCTTCCTGGAAGTCACACGTAAGGATGTTTGTTCACTTCAGCTGATGGTTAGAGTAAAGGAGCAGCAGTACGCTGATGTTAAAAAGTGCTTGTATTGTAAGAACTGAAGAAATGAACTGTTGTGTCATCGTTCTTCCATAGCCCCTTATGTGGAGTTTACAAAGCCTCTTCAAGATGTGGAGGTCAGAGAGAAGGAATCTGCCAGGTTTGAATGTGAAGTTTCCCGCGAGTCTGCCAAGGTGAGACCACAAAACACCTGTCCTCAAGTACACTCAGCCATTCTGAAGACTAGTTAGATATATTCTATGGTCAACCGTCACTTCTGTGAGGTTTTGGAATAACCCTGATGTTGTTGTTTAAGGTTCGCTGGTTCAAGGATGGCAGTGAGATCAGGAAAGGAAAGAAATATGAGATCATTGCTAAAGGAGTGCAGAGAATTCTCATTATCCACAAGTCTGTGTTTGATGATGAGGCTGAGTACGAATGTGACGCAAGAACCTCCAAGACCTCCGGGATGCTCACTGTCATTGGTGAGGAGCATTACTCATCAGAAGTACCATAAGGTCRAGGATATAAACACCAAGTGTTAGATCTTTCTTCAAATCATAAATACAATCAAACATTTCCAGCTGAGATTACTGTGAAATCTCCAAGTTTTACTTAAACCCAGTGAAAGACAAGTAAAAATGTACACCAACATGGATTTCTGAAGCTGATGCTTGTGTCCTGATTGTCCTCAGAGGAAGCAGCTACGTTCACCAAGAACTTGTCCAACGTGGAGGGAACAGAAACAGACAGTGTGAAGATGGTCTGTGAGGTCTCCAAGGCTAATGCTGAGGTCACTTGGTACAAAGGGGACGAGGAGCTGCCAGAGGGTGGCCGCTACGATCAGATCATGGATGGACGCAAGAGAATCTTGATCATTAAGGACCTGAGGATGGCAGACGCTGGGGAGTACAACTGCAGGCTGAGTCCCACAGTCCGGACTTCTGCCACACTTAAAATTAAYGGTAAATACACAAAGAAAAGAGATCATTAACCACTTAAAGGATTTTGACTTTGACTGTACTGTCTCTTCCTTCTRCTTGTTCTTTTCAGAACTGGCAGCAGAGTTCATCTCCCGCCCTCAGAACCAGGAGGTGGTGGAGGGTGAGAAGGCTGAGTTTGCCTGCTCTGTCTCCAAAGACACCTATGAGGTGAAATGGTTCAGAGGTGACACAGAAATTGAAGATGGAGAGAAATACATCATCATCAGTGAAGGAAAGAGAAGGGCTCTTATTGTGAAAAGCTGTGACCTGAAGGATGAGGGYGGCTATGTGGCCCACATCGGCAGCGTTAAGGCCTCAGCTGAACTCTGTGTGATCGGTGAGGTGTTTCTTTTCTTCTCAGCAGCTTGTTGAAGGTTAGGGTGATCTGTCAGGGCTGGTGCTAACAGGCCTGTTCTTTTACTACAGAAAAACTGAGGATCTTCACTCCAATCAAAGACACGGTGGTGAAGGAAGGAAGTGAAATTGTGTTCAACTGTGAGACCAACACAGAGGGAGCCAAGGCTAAGTGGCTGAAGAACGAAGAGACCATCTTTGAAACCAGCAAGTACATGATGGCTCAGAGAGATAATGTCTTCTCTCTGAGGATCAAAGATGCTCAGAAGGCCGATGAGGCCACCTACACCGTCTCTCTGAGCAATCACAGAGGAGAACACGCAAAGTGCAGTGCTAGTGCTAAAGTCACAGGTAAACTAAGTGCATGTAGATTCTGCCACTSGGGGGTTTCATGGAAGACTGATTCTGTACACYTCTTGTGACTCCACAGAAGAGAAGCTGAAGTTCTTAGAGCCCATTGAGGACATTGAGACTCAGGAGAAGAAGACCATTAGCTTTGTTTGTAAGGTGAACCGGCCTGGGGTTACCGTGCAGTGGATGAAGGCTGGCCAGGAAATCACACTCAGCAAACGCCTTGTGTACAGAGCTGATGGTCTCAAACACACCCTGACCATCAAGGACTGCGTCATGGATGACGAGGGCGAGTACACAGCTGTGGTCGGAGACGACAAGTGTGCTGCTGAGCTGATCATCAGTGAGGCGCCTACAGACTTTACAGCACARCTCAAAGACCAGACCATCACTGAGTTTGAAGACGCAGAGTTCACCTGTAAGCTGACCAAAGAGAAGGCTGTGGTCAAGTGGTACAGGAATGGACGGGAGATCAGAGAAGGACCCAGGTATGCTGTTTGATTAGAAATCAAGCAGAGGAGCATCCTCAGTCTGGAAGCAATCTACTCCACGTTTAAAACAACTCTTGTTGTTCATGTTGAAATGCACTTACAGACAGCCACACGTGGTTGTTTTAGTTTAATTATTAATTCAGAAAGAGAACATCAGTCAACAGTATCTGACACTTTGAAAGAAGCAGACTCTGACAAAGCTTTCATGTGGTGTTTCTGYAGATATCACATGGAAAAGGAAGGCAAGACATGCAGTTTAATCATCAAGGTGTGCAGACCTGATGATGAATGTGAATACGCCTGTGGTGTGGACGAGAGGAGGACCAGAGCCAGGCTCTTTGTTGAAGGTCAACTCATTTCTGATTCCTTTCTAGCAAGCTCAGTTGTTCCCATTTGAAATATTCATAGTGTCTGCACTTGTGTCMTGCAGAGACGCCGGTGGAGATCGTCCGACCGCCACAGGACATGTTTGAACCTCCAGGCTCTGACGTGGTGTTCGAGGTGGAGCTGAACAAGGACCGGGTGGAGGTGAAGTGGATGAGGAACAACATGATTATTGTCCAGGGAGACAAGTACCAGATGATCAGTGAGGGCAAAATCCACAGACTGCAGGTCTGTGAGATCAGACCCAGAGACCAGGGAGAGTACCGGATTGTAGCCAAAGACAAAGATGCTCGAGCCAAGCTGGAGCTGGCAGGTGAGTCAGTTCTGCTGAAATATTTCTTATTAAATGAAAAACTCCAGAAATCTAAAAGATGAGATGAGAGAACATTATTTATTTTTAACTTTACTTCTTCTTTGTGACAAACTCTGTAATGTCTCCAAAAGCACACMTGAGAAGATTTTACCAATTTATTGACCTTAACAGTGAACAAACTCCCTCTCTGGTACCTGTATATGATAAACTAATGAAAGACAAGCAGGAGTAAATAGAGGAGGTAATTAACAAAAGCCACAGTTTCTGTCCACACATGTCAAACCACAGGCCTGTGGAGCTCAGCTCAGAATGATCTGACAACCTGTACCTTTAACAGGACTGAAAGCTTTCAGTAGAGACATTCTTATCAGCCAAACACTGGAATTTTCTTGCAGAAAAGGCTAATAAAAACCTCTCAAATCCAGCTTGTAGATATCGGTGGAGCTGCAGGTTTCTAATTTAATAGTATTAACCTGCTGGCCAGTAGAGTTGTGACAAGTGGGTTTTCTCACAGTCAGGGATTCATCAGTAACTCAGCTCACTCAATGATGGTTGGACAAATGATGCAAAATTCAAACGAACGTATTGAATTTCTCTCCGCAGCCCTTCCAAAGATAAAAACCACTGACCAGAATCTGGTGACCGATTCTGGAAAACCTTTTGTAATGATTGTGCCTTACGATGCCTATCCTCGGGCTGATGCTGAGTGGTTCTTTGAGGGCCAAAGTCTTCCAGTCCAGAACATTGACACTTCAGTGGACAAGACGGAGTATCGTCTGAAGAGCCCCATCAAGGAGGACCAGGGTCGGTATCGAGTGGTAATCAAAAACAAGCATGGTGAGGGGGAGGCATTCATCAAACTGGACGTCATTGGTGAGTCTGAGGAGGAAAGATGACTGGATCACTGCTGATAGACAGATAAAGTGCTCAGTGTCCTATTTGTGGTTTTCAGATGTCCCTGGACCCATAAAGAACCTGAGAGTGGTTGACACCTCAGATGGTGAAGTCAGCTTAGCCTGGGAAGAGCCTGAGAGCGATGGAGGCAGCAAGATTGTTGCTTACATTGTGGAACGCCGTGATGTAAAGCGTAAGACCTGGACTCTGGCTACAGACCGTGCTGATACTCCAGAGTACTGTGTCAGCGGACTCCAGAAGGATTCTCTATATCTGTTCAGAGTCTGTGCTCGGAACAGAGTTGGCAGTGGACCCACTGTTGCCACTGAAGACGCCGTTCAGGCCAAGAACAAGTTCGGTAAGTAAACCTTTACAGCCYGGCTTAACAAATCATCTCCATGTTTAAATGTTCATAACCATAAGTCTTGTGTTTGTTGTCAATCTTTAGATGTTCCAGATGCTCCAGAAAATGTTGCAGTGGGTGGGGTGAACAGGTTTGGAGCCACAGTCACCTGGGAGCCTCCCAAATTTGATGGCGGCTCTGAAATCACTGCTTATGTGATTGAGCTTCGTGACAGAACTTCTGTGAAGTGGGAGGCAGCCCTGGTGTGTGGGGCCGCTGACCGCTCGGCTACTCTGAACGATGTGGTGGAACACAAGGAGTACATCTTCAGGGTTCGAGCTGAGAACAAGGCAGGCATCGGAAGGCCCAGTGCTGCCACCAACCCAGTCAAGATCATGGATCCTATCGGTGAGTGAAAAACAGCACCTTGATGGTTTCATCATGAGCTAATTCACAAAATAAGCCAGGAACAGTTCACCAAAGAGTGAACAAGTTAAACCAGGTTTCCAATGAACTGTTTGATTCTGTTTGAGTCAGTTCCCCATCCTGAGCATGCACAGAGCAGTGAGCAGCTTTTGTCAGGAAATAAAACACTGAGAACTCTATTGTGCTGCCCCTGCAGAGAGGCCAAGTCCACCTCTGAATCTGAACTACAGTGACCAAATCCAGACAGCCGTCACCCTGACCTGGGAAACCCCCACAAGCAATGGTGGGAGCATGATCACTGGTTACATCATTGAGAAATGTGAAGAAGGCTCTGATAAGTGGCTGCGCTGCAACGCCAGACTGTGTCCAGACCTCTTCTATCGGGTACAAAGTTCCTAGACAGTCATGATGTCCATCAGAATTCTACTGGTTCTCTTGTTTGTCTCACTGATCATTATCTAGCTGAGTGTTCATTGACTCCTGTTTGTCTCTTCAGGTTTCTGGACTGAAGCCTGGTCAGAAGTACCTGTACAGAGTTTGTGCTGAAAACGCTGCTGGGGTTTCAGATCCAGCCGAGCATCTTGGACCCCTGCTTGCTGATGACCCACATGGTGAGAAAACCAATGGAATCAAGGCTGACTTAAGCTTTATGAGCTAATTCTCACATGGTGTACTGTAAAAATCTGCTCAATAACCTGGAAACTTCTTTTCTTCCTGCAGTCGGTCCTACCTTTGACCTGAGTGGCTTCAGGAATGGCCTGGAAGTGATCGTCCCTCAGCCTCTCATCATTAGAGTCCCTATCACAGGACACCCAACTCCCACTGCTAAGTGGACGTTTGGGGAGAAAGAGCTGACCACAGCAGATGAGCGTGTCTCCATGGTGACAAAGCCCACATTTACAGAGCTGACCATCTCACCAAGTGTCCGTCCAGACAAAGGCACGTACAGCCTGCAGCTGGAGAATGATGTCTCGTCCATCTCTGGAGACATCGAAGTCAACGTCATTGGTAGGAATGGTTTCTAAKMTGGATTCATGAAACTAGTGCAAACTGTTTAAGAAACCTGTTTTTAAAAGCTCATCCTCTTTGGTTTCMTTTTCCCAGCATGCCCCAGTTCTCCCAAAGACTTCAAGGTGGCYGAGGTGACCCGTCACCATGTCCACCTGATGTGGGAGCCTCCAGAGCACGACGGAGGAAGTCCAGTCACCCACTATCAGATTGAAAAGAGAGAAGTTTCTCGTAAGACCTGGGCCAAGGTACAGTAGATCTGAGACACATTTTCTGAAATAATTTAAGATTTTACAAATGTTTGACCTGAAAACATAGATGTACCTGACTGCAATGTTTAGGAAATCTACAATTAGTCTGATTGTGTTCTTATGTTTGTCAGAAAATGCTGTGGAATGAAAGCAAAAAGTTTGGGTTTCATTTGAGGGAAAGAAATAAAAKATGTCAACAGATTTCTTACCAGTTAGGTAAATGGATCAGCAGTGGGAAACTGGGATGAGTTGGGCCTTTTTAGAACTCTTCTCACACTAAAGATCCACAGAATCTGTAACATTTTGCTGACTTCCTGAGTGTGCGGATGCTTTGTTCAGGTGGCTACTTATGTTATGGACCTGGAACACACGGTGACGGATGTGATTGAGGGAAAAGAATATCTGTTCAGTGTTATCGCCTGCAACAAGTGTGGACCTGGAGAACCAGCATACATTGATGAGCCCGTCAATGTGTCCTCACCTGCCAGTGAGTGTTTATTAACATCATATGGAGAGTGGAGGAACATTTTAGATCAGTCCTGAAAACAAAGTTTCATTCTGAAAAGTCTAAACTTTAATCAGATTTTGTTTAATCTGATCTTTGTTTTGATTTATTTCAAGCTGTTCCYGATCCTCCTGAAAACCTGAAGTGGCGTGATAAGAGTGGAAAGAGCATCTTCCTTTCCTGGGAACCTCCAAACTATGATGGTGGAACCCCAGTCAAAGGCTACGTGGTGGACAAGTGTCAGCGTGGCACCGATAAGTGGGAGCCCTGCAGTGACCCCATTCCTGAGCTCAAGTAAGACTGAAGTCTTTGTGTTCAGTTACATCACCCCTGTCTGCATTCTGGCTCAGGTGGACATCATTGTTCTTTGTGTCACAGGTTCCAGGTGACTGGCCTGATCGAAGGCCAGTGGTATGCCTACAGAGTCAGAGCCTTGAACAAGTTGGGGGCCAGTAGACCCTGCAGGGCCACTGATGAGATCCAGGCTGTGGAYGCAAGAGGTGTGCTGGTCTGAGCTCATCCTGACAGGATGCTGCTAATCAGAGTGATGTCATGCAGTGTTTTCTTCACCTACAGTTCATAAGCTCAAAGCATTTTCTTCTAGATTTTAGCTTCATGAAGGAAAAAAGGAAGAGATTTTCCTGACTAGATAAGAAGCAAAGGAAAAACCATCAGGAAGGTGGAGAAGTTCATTGTAGAATGTGACTATCTTTTTTTATTTTAACAGAACCTCCAGAGATCCAGCTGGACGTGAAGTTGCTGGCTGGTCTGACAGCCAGAGCAGGGACCAAGATCGAGCTTCCTGCAGACGTCAAAGGACAACCTGATCCTCGGGTCAAATGGACCAAGGCCGACTTGGTCTTGAGAGCCGATGACCGCATCACMATCGACACCCAGCCAGGACACTCCAAAGTTTCCATAAGCAACACCACCAGAGAGGACACTGCAACTTACATCATTGAAGCTGTCAACCTGTGCGGTCGCGCCACCGCAACCATCGATGTCAACATCCTCGGTACAATATTTAAAGCTCAGCTATCAAAGTATCAAGCACCACACAGCTTGCTTGATTCTGTTTTACACTGGGTTCTGGGTTCTGAACCAAATACAGCTTACATGCAACTTCTGGCTCTTTTGTGTTGTTCTGCAGATAAACCAGGCCCTCCTGCTGCCTTTGACATCTCTGAGATCACCAACGAGTCCTGCGTCCTAGCCTGGAACCCTCCCAGGGATGATGGCGGCTCCCCCATCACCAATTACATTTTGGAGTGTCGTCTGATTGACAAAGAAGAGTGGGTCAAACTGTCAGCCACAGTGAAACACACCACCTTCAAGGCATGCAAGCTCTTGGCTCTGAAGGAGTATGTCTTTAGAGTCAGTGCTGAGAACCAGTATGGTATCGGTGTACCAACAGAGCACACACCCATCATCGCAAAGTACTCTTTTGGTATGTTGTTCTACCCTTCAGCCCATTACTCAAACACCAACCAAACGCTAGTGAATTTCTTCATAAATCACAGTACTCTGTCTCTTGCAGATCCTCCTGGTCCTCCAACCAGAATCACTCCTTCTGATATTGCCAAGGATGCAGTGACTCTGAGCTGGTTTGAGCCTGACGAGGACGGTGGCAGCCCCATTACAGGATACTGGATTGAGAAGTTTGATCCAGAGAGTGACAAGTGGATTCGATGCAACAAGCTGCCTATAAAAGACACAAACTTCAGGTGAATAAACATAATTGTCTGGTTCTCAAACCTTTATACCCTGCCCCTTTCTTGAGAAGAATACTGTTCATCCCCTAAGGACTAAAACAAAGTAAAGTCAAAGTAAAGTTTTACTTTTAGCTTCTTCTGTCTCTTTTGGATTTGAAGCCTGTTTTTCTTTTCATTTCTCTTTGGATATGCATTTATACACCCATATTTGGAGAAACATTGTTTAAATGAGTTTTTCTCTCTGACTGCAGAGTAAAGGGACTCACCACCAAGAAGAAGTATCGCTTCCGTGTTCTGGCTGAAAATCTGGCTGGACCTGGACAACCAAGTGCAGAGACAGATCCTGTCCTCATTAAAGATCCCATTGGTATGTCCCAAGTCCATCAGTACCATAMAGTCTATTAAGTTTCTAATGATACTTGTAGTAAGATCAAAATTTTACTTGAAAAATATATCAGGACAGTAATATGCTGCGTAATRTTTTAATAACATGGAGTTCTCTGTCAGATCCCCCATGGGCACCTGGTAAACCTGTTGTCAGGGAAGTTGCCAAGACCTCAGCTGTGTTAGCATGGACACGTCCAGAGCATGATGGTGGAGCAAAGATCGAAGGCTACATCATCGAGTTCCAGAAAAGCGGAAGTGAAGAATGGATCCAGATTGCAGAGGATGTTCCTCAGACAGAGCACCAACTGCAGGGTCTGTTGGAGAAGCAGGAGTACTCATTCAGGGTCAAAGCTGTCAACAAAGCCGGCGAGAGTGAACCCAGCGAACCCAGCGACCCTGTGGTCTGCAAGGAGAGGCTCTGTAAGTCCAGCACAGAAAACTAGKTGGCACTGGACCCTCTTTGGAAAAAGAATTCCTAACAGTCTGATTTTACCTTCCAGTCCCCCCATCTGCCCCTCAGTGGCTGGAGGTGACCAACATCACCAAGATCAATGCTGAACTGAAATGGCAGGCTCCTAGCAGTGACGGAGGCTCACCTATTACCAACTATGTGGTGGAGAAGAGGGATGTGAGGCGGAAGGCCTGGCAGGCCGTCGACACCACCATCAAGGAGCTGAAGTACACAGTGACTCCTCTGAACGAAGGGTCTTTGTACGTGTTCCGTGTTGCTGCTGAGAACGCTGTTGGGATGGGTGAATTCTGTGAGCTGGAGGATGCAGTRCTCGCTAAGGACACATTTAGTAAGTTCACAGGAAGACAGAATATTTATTTTCTTGACTGTTTTATTTCAAATCCAAAGTTACTTCCTGCTCCCCAAGTGACGGTTTACAATGATTCCATTTTACCAAAAACTTTATTCTACCTACATCCTTTACTCTGGATCATTCTTCTTTTTTATACTCATTACATGTAAATCATCAGGGTACATTTTTAAACTGTTGAAGGGAATGTTAATGTGTGTTGTATTTACAGCAACTCCCGGACCCCCTTACGCCCTAACAGTGGTGGAGGTCTCTAAGAGACATGTGGAGCTGAAATGGGAACCCCCCAATAGCGACGGTGGAAGACCCATAACTAAGTAAGGGAAATCAAACTGTTATGAGACCATGTAGAAAATTATTGACTTAACTGACGATTTTCTGCCTGGGGCTGATGGAGCTTGTTTAGTATTGTTATACTCAAACAGTAGACACAAAAACTTTGGTTGGTTTTATAAAGTTACTGAACTATTGAACAAGACTAAGCCTTTTCTTCACAGGTATGTGATTGAAAAGAAGGAAAAGGTTGGAACTCGTTGGCTGAAATGTTGCAAGACTCCAGACAAACAGACCCAGTTCAAGGTGACTGATGTTGATGAAGGATCAGAGGTGCAGTTCCAGGTTAGAGCTGAGAATGAGGCTGGAATTGGAGACCCAAGTGAACCCACAGTGATTCTCACCATTGAGGATCCAACCAGTAAGAAACTAAAGTGTTTATGAGAAAATATACAGAATTTACAATCTGCTGGCTTCTTTAGAAGGATTGTTTTTTGTACAGTGCCCTGAGACATTTGTTGACACTTGCACTTATTTATTTCAGTATTATTAAATGCAGATGTTCAAATCTAATCCMACCAGTTTTCTGTGACAAACACAAGTTGAGTTCTGAAACTTCCATCCTCTTTTCTCCAGGTCCTCCATCTCCTCCTCTGGAAGTAACCATTGTGGACGCCAGCAGAGAACACATCAACGTCACTTGGAAACCCCCAGCAAAAGATGGCGGCAGTCCAATAACTGGCTATCACGTTGAGGTGGCAGAGGCTCGCCCAGAGCTGAAGTGGCTCAGGGTCAACAACAGGCCCATTAAAGAGCTGAAGTTCAGGATCGATGATGGAATCAAACCAGAGAAAAAATATGTCATTAGGGTTCGTGCCATCAACTCAATTGGAGTCAGTGATCCCTCTGAGATCTCTGACAAGGTCTCAACCAAGGATCCCGACTGTAAGCACAGACTAAATTCTAGTAACATATTAATAAAATAAGGATTTCACAGTAATTTTTTTTCTGGTCTGTAGGTGCCCCAACTATGGATCTAGAGGCACAAGATGTAATTGTAGTTGAGGGGGAGAAATTGCACCTGAACATCCCCTACAGGGCCATTCCAACTCCAAAGATGGTTTGGCTGAAAGACTCTGTGGAGTGTAAAGCTGATGACAGGCTCTCCATGACAGTAGAGATGAACAGTGCTCACCTGGAGCTGCTGAAGTGCAAACACGCTGATGCTGGTGTCTACACCATCACTCTGGAGAACAGCCTGGGAACATGCTCCGGAACCATCAATGTCAAAGTCATTGGTAAGATGAACTGATTTGAGATTTCTTCCAAGACTCTTGGAACAATGGGCCTCATGCAAGAACATGTTCGTATTCTTCTCCTAAATTTCTCTT